CTCTCTCTCCTCTCTCTCCTCTCTCTCCTCTCTCTCCTCTCTCTCCTCTCTCTCTCTCGCAAAGTGACTCAGTTTTACACATATAGACATTCTTTTTTAATATTCTTTTCCATTATGGTTTATCCCAGGAGATTGGGTATAGTTTGCTGTGCTCTACAGTAGGACCTTGTTGTTTATCCATCTAAATGTAATAGTTTGCATCTGCTAGCCCCACACTCCCAGTCCGTCCCTCCCCCCAACCCCCTCTCCTTGGCAACCAGGAGTCTGTTTCTGTTTCACAGATGAGTTCATTTGTGTCAGATTTTAGATCCCACATATAAGTGGTATCATATGATATTTGTTTTTCTCTTTCTGACTGACTTCATTTAGTATGATGATCTCTAGGTCCATCCATGTAGCTGCAAATGGCGTTATTTCATTCTTTTTTATGGGTGAGTAGTGTTCCATTGTGTATATGCACCACATCTCCTTTATCCATTCATCTGTCAATGGACATTTAGGTTGTTTCCGTGTCTTGGCTATTGTGAATAGTGCTATGAACAGAGGGGTGCGTGTGTCTTTCTGAATTATAGTTTTGTCTGCATATATGCCCAGGAGTGGGATTGCTGGATCATACGGCAGCTCTGTTTTTAGTTTTCTGAGGAACCTCCGTACTGTTCTCCACAATGGCTGCACCAACTTACATTCCCACCAACATTTTAGGAGGGTTCCCTTTTCCCACACCATCTCCAGCATTTATTTGTAGACTTTTTAACAATGGCCATTCTGACTGGTGTGAGTTGGTAGGTACCTCATTGTAGTTTTGATGTGCATTTCTCTAATGATGTTGAGCATCTTTTCATATGCATTCGGGTTTCTTAATGTGGCTTGAAGTATTGGGAATTTTCAGATTTGACATTCATTCAGTAGCCCTGATTTCACACTTCCTCTTTGCCTAGAGCTAGCATGATGCTAGAGATACAGCGGCCAACTCTGTTGTCCCTAAAGCAGTACATATGGCTTCAAAGAGTTTTCTGTAGTCATGGGTCTTCCAGTTCTCCCTTGAACATAACTCAGTTTTCCTCCTTCATACTCTACTGAAGCCCCCCTTATTAAGGTCACCAGTTCTCAATCCTTATCTTACCAGCTCTACTTACTAGCAGCTCAACCCAGGTGGTCACTGTCTCCTACTGGAAACCCTTCATCCGCTTGGTTCTGGGACACCTCACTGGTCCCTTGCCCTCCCCGGGTCACCTGTAAAGGTAGCGGGCCTCAGGGCTGTCTTCGGCCCACTTCCCTTTTCTCTCTGCCCTCACACCCTAGGAGACAGCAGTTAGTCCCGTACCTTTAAATACCAGTTTTACATCTTCAGCCCTAGCCTGTACGTGAGCTGCAGGCTCATGGGTTAGATGGTCTACCTGACACCCTGACCTGAATGCTTAATGGTCACCTCACACTTAACGTGTTTGAAATGGGTCTCTCTTTTTTTTTTCCTGCATTGATTTAACTTTTTTTTGTTGACATATAGTTAATGTCTAATATTATGTTACAGGCGTACAGTATAGTGATTCACAGTTTTCAAAGGTTATACTCCATTTGTAGTTATTATAAGATATTTGCTGTATGTTCCCCATGTTGTACAGTTGTACAGTGTGTCCTTGTGGCTTATTTTGTGCCTCTCACTCCCTACCCCTGTAGCGCCCCTCCCCGCCGAGATGGGCCACTTGGTCTCTGCCCCTCACAAGCTGGTTTCTCGCGAGGCAGCCCGTTTCGTAAATGGTACCACCATGCACCCGGTGCTTTGGCCAAGAACCTAAGCAGCAGCTGTGATTTCTTCCTCATTCCCTACGTGTCATTCACCAGCAAGTTGTACTGAACCAGCCATCAAAATGCATCCACGTCACAGCCGTCTCAGCCTCTTGCCCTACCGCTCTGGTCCAGGCTGTCATTGCTTCTTGCCTGGACTCCTGTAGTCATCTCCCCACAGCTTGTCGTGCTTCCCTTCATTCCCTCAGAGGATTTACTGCCCCCCCACCCCCCCCACCTGTTTGACACCATCCTTCCACCTTCGCCACCCGGCTCTTTTCTCGCTGTTGTACGTTCCCAGCTCAGTGCCGCCTCGGGGCCCCGTGCCTGCTCTTGTCTCCATGGCCAGTGGCCTTCACCCAGGCCTCTGCTCAGGAGGCCAGCCTGCCAGCCAGTCTTCCCACCCGTGCGCATTCTGAACCTCTCTCCTCCTCTGCTTTGTCACCCTGGGAAGTAGGTGTGTGTGTGTTGTGTGCTTGAGCTACTAAAGTTCATTTTTGTTCAAGCGTTTTTAGTGTCTGTCTTCCCTATCAAAGAGGGAAAGAGCCTTCATCTGTTTTGTTCACTGCTAAATCCCTAGGACCTAGAGTAGTGCCTGCTACATAATAGAGGCTCAGTAATAATTGCTGAGGGAAAGGGCAAAAGGCCCAGCAAACACTGACAAATGTCAGTGCAGTATGGAAGTGCTTTGAAGAAATTCACAAAAGATGTAAAAACAAGTTCTAGCTGTCAAATAAGTCACTTTTGAACTATCCACATCCTTGCTATGTTTCATTTATACATTGACTGTAGACAGTTGCTTCAGAGTATAAAGCAGTCTTTTCTGACTCCAAAAGCAATACAAGGGTGTTGAAGAAAATTTCAGACAGCATTAAGAAGAAAATAAAGATCACTCATAATTGTATTAAGAACTCCTGTTTAGGGCTTCCCTGGTGGCGCAGTGGTTGAGAGTCCGCCTGCCGATGCAGGGGACTCGGGTTCGTGCCCCGGTCCGGGAAGATCCCACATGCCGCGGAGCGGCTGGGCCCGTGAGCTATGGCCGCTGAGCCTGCGCGTCCAGAGCCTGTGCTCCGCAACGAGAGAGGCCACAACAGTGAGAGGCCCGCGTACCGCAAAAAAAAAAAAAAAAAAGAATTCCTGTTTATTTTTTGGTGTATGTCTTTCTAGGCTTGTTTTCTTCTAGCTATTTACATTTTAATAAGCAAATGAGGAGTCACACTTACATGACTTCTTTGTAACCTGATTTTTTAAAAATTGGCTCTCTTTTTTTTTTTTATAAATTTATTTATTTATTTTTGGCTGCGTTGGGTCTTCGCTGCTGCGCGTGGGCTTTCTCTAGTTGCGGTGAGCAGGGGCTACTCTTCGTTGTGGTGCACAGGCTTCTCATTGCGGTGGCTTCTCTTGTTGCAGAGCACGGGCTCTAGGCACACAGGCTTCAGTAGCGGTGGCTCGCGGGCTCTAGAGCGCAGACTCAGTAGTTGTGGCGCACGGGCTTAGTTGCTGTGCGGCATGTGGGATCTTCCTGGACCAGGGCTCGAACCTGTGTCCCCTACATTGGCAGGCGGGTTCTTAACCACTGCGCCACTGGGGAAGTCCCTGGTAACTGCTTTCTTAAAGATAATAATCTATCATCATTATGTGCTTATGTTAATTAATATATACTTGGGTCTCTTTTAAGGTTTTCCATTCTGATTTATTCATCTGATGACTCATAACAGTATATGTTGTCTGAATTAGGTGATATCATTTGAGTTACATGGTGATACTGGTCTCACACATACTTCTTTTGCAAAAATTTTTCCCAATTGGTTTTCACTCAATTTCCATATGAATTTTAGATATTTTTCATGTGAATTTTAGCTCTTTTTGTTCGCTCCCCAAAGTACTTTGAGAATGAATTGTTAAATTTTTGTTATGTTTATAAATTAGTTTGGGGAGGTTGCCTTCTGAATAAGTTAGCATTTGACTACAAATAGCAAAAAATTTCAACTAAATTAAGTGTAGCCGTGAGGACACTGTTATGTCATGTGACTGGCGGTTTAGTGAAAGGGGGCGGGGCTTTATGGCTCACGGAGGTCCTGAGGGATGTGGTCTCCCCATCCATCCTCACTGACACTCTCAGTGTGCTGGCTTTCACTTCACACTTTCCTTGTGGTTGAAAAGTGACCGTCAGATCCCAGGAATCTCATCCAGAAATGACAGTGTCCACTTCTTGCGTGTTTCTCTTAGAATCAAGGTAATTTTTCCTGGAAGTCCCCGCCTAGATTTATGCTTGCTCCCTGCTGGCCAGATCGGGTTACGTGGCATTTCTAACCCAGTCCTTGGCAAGAGAAGTGGCATTAGCATGATTGGCTAAAACTGATCAGGATCCATTCCTAACAGAGGTTCAGAATCCGGTCTGCTTGAATCATGTGAGGAAAGTGGCTGAGACCAACGGCAGCTCTGCTCTCATCACGCCGCCGTCTTCCCATTCAGGGACGTGGTCTGCTTCTCCTTACAGATCTTTTCAGGTAGATCTGACAGCTGTTTTGTTCCGTTTGATTCTAAATGGGCACCTTACTAAACTATTTGCTTTTG